TCCTTCAGAAATCATTCTAATATGCTGATTTGGTGCTCAAGAACTAATAATTCTTAATGCCAATGCTGAAAACCCTGATATATTTGTGGAAACCCTGATACCTTTTTTTCAGATTTCTTTGCTGAATAGAAAGAACAGGGTTTATTTAAAATAGTAATCTTTTGCAACACTATAAATGTGTTTACTGTCCAAAATGTCTTTTGAACAATTTAGTGAATCCTTTCTAAATAAAAGTATTAATTTCTTAAAAACAAAATCAAAAGCTTACAGCCAAATTTTGTGTAAATTCAGGTTTTGAACCTGTCTTATCTCGCCAAAGGAGCTTTTCTTCATGCTTTGTGCCTCTATTTAAGCCGACACTCTGTCCTCCATTTAATCTTTTAAGTAACTAAACCATTATGACCCTGCTAAACAGTTTGGCATGAAGTCCATACTTGATTCATTATGGCACCTTTTTATCACATAATTGACCATAGAAATCTCTCTCTCAGGGGCATGACAGAGGGAATCACTCTTCTGATCCTCGCTGTTCAGACTGGACTGATTGAGCTACAGGTCATCCACAGAGCCTTCCTCCTCAGCATCATCCTCTTCATTGTAGTGGCCTCCATCTTGCAGTCTATGCTGGAAATTGCTGATCCCATAGTGCTGGCGCTGGGAGCCTCCAGAGACAAGTACATAAGCATGATTGTTAAAGACATATCTTTATGTATTATACAAGTGAACAATGTAATTTAGTGTTCTGATTATTGCTAACAGGAGTTTATGGAAGCACTTTCGTGCGGTTAGCCTGTGCTTGTTCCTCCTGGTGTTCCCAGCCTACATGTCCTACATGATATGTCAGTTCTTCCACATGGACTTCTGGCTGCTGATCATCATCTCCTCCAGCATTCTGACCTCACTACAGGTAGAAATCCTACAAAAAAACACACCATCAGCTCTGAACTAGAGCATTAGTGAGTGTGAGAAACAGCATAAAGGAGCAGAAATGGAACAAAAATGAATGGGAGAAATTGTAACTCAATATGGTACTGTAGGAATGTTGTCAGATTTTATTCCTTATATATGGAATATGTTATTGCTCACAATCTTGACAAACAATTTTGGAGATTTTAATGGATTTTGGTAACAACAGCAAT